CAAAAAATTAGCTACCAGTTCTGTTGAACTGGTGCGAACTGGCTGAATCCCACCACTGGTTTGAATAAATCTGATTCATTATATAATTGTGTATAAGTGTAGTTTGTATAATTTGCTACACTATTTTTAAAATAAACAATAGAACTTATTAATTCTTGTTGGAGCCTGTCTGTTGGCATTCACAAGCAGTGTTCCTTTTTTAAAATATATTACTTGAAAACTGAAAGTAAACTCAAGATGCTGAGGAAAACATCAGATGGGAAGGACTCAAATACCACTGACTTTAGACAATGCAAACATTCATTTGGTTTTCTTTTAAATTGAACAATATCAATATATACTTCAAACATCAGTGCCATCTGAATGGAATCATATCTTACTTTTAAAACACTGCAGCTGCCATAGGCTTTTCCTATTTCCTCCTACTCATTTCTCCAGTTGTCTGTTGTGTATCACATAGCCTTCCAAAGGCTTGGATGCAACACTACAGTCTTTCCAAATATTGCATCTGAACTACAAGTGTAACAGGAACAATACAACAGAGTTGGAAGGGACCTTGGAGGTCTTCTAGTTCAATCCCCTGCTCAAGCAGGAGACCTGCTAGGAGGACATTGTTCAACTGTATGTAACTCCAGATTTGTACAGTCTGCTGGTCCTGTGTTTGAGAAACTGAATCCCCACTGGATCTCTCAGTTAGATCTCTTCCATTTCTATCCAAGTCACTATAAACAAGCCAGTTGTCAAGTCTTCAATGAATAGCAGGGTTGAGGGTGAAGCTTTTTTCTCCAAGCTTGTGGATTGGTTTCTGAGCATCTCATTACCAGGCTAGGCAACATCTTCAGTGGACTTTAGGGGATTTCAGTGTCACTGTTCTTCTGTTTATAAGGGCTTCATGGGGTCAATAGGTCTTGTGATGATGATATCATGTCAGGTGAGGGTCCCATCAGATCAGGTGGTGGGTCTTGTAATGGGTCAGGTGTGAATCGCCAGTGAGAGTCCTGTGGTGGGTCATGATGGGGAGGTTACATCAGGTGTGGGTCATTGGGAGGTAAAGTGCTGGTTGGGGGGTCTTGCAGGGGTTGGTTGAGGGCTGGTACTGTCTCTGGTTGGCTGTGTGGTTGATTTGGATTCTGAGGGGTTCATAGGCTGGTTGTAGGTTGATGTGTCTGTTGATGGAATTGCTTGTGGAGTTGTGGAGTGCCAGGCTTTGATAAACTCACAAGTGTGGCGGATGGTAATGTGGCAGATGATTTTTGTGTTGTTCCAATTGAATTGGCACTGTTTGGTGTTGGTGTCAGTAGAGATTAAGGATTGGGGATTCTGAAATGTTTGGAAAGCAACCCACAAGCTCGGAGAGCAAACCTTCACCCTCATCCTACACCAGAGCTACAGATATTTACCACTATTGTAAGCAGCAGGGCTGTTAAGGATGGGTTTTCCTTCTCTCTCCTCCCCATAGATCCAGTAAGTGATTTAACCCTCTCATTCTGACCAAACAATTACAAATTTCCTATTTGAATTAGCAAAGCAATAACCAAAGGAACAGACAGTATTCTTTTATACTGGAAAGTACATTGAACCAGTACTACAATATACAGGTTCAAAAATAACTTTAATCAACTTTCCTTATTGAACCCAGTAGGAGTGTGTTGTATACTTCGTTCATGTGTGAATGATGAAGACACATGGCAATGTTGAACAACTCTTTATTCTCCTTCTAACAACACCCAAGCAAAAACAAAAGGCACACAAGCCTTTTTACATGGTCAGAAACCCGGACAATGTCAACCAATGAAACAGAGCATTTTCGCGCCGTGCATATGTGCACAAGGCTGGCACTGCTCTGTCTGGTCCCGGGCAGCTTTTGGAATGCCCGGGACCAATACAATGTCCTGAGCCTGCTTTTGCAGGCTCAGGACACAACAGAGTGGATTCCTTTCTGTGTTCTGAAAAGATTGCTAAGAGCTAGCAATTGTCTTTTCACACATCTAATACAATAAGCAGTGTCCTTAAGAGTGCAGGACATTTCAAAAGCACAGTACATAATAGACCAAACCAACTCTTTCCTTTCTCTTGGAAAAAAAAACACAGTTATTGCACAGAGTCTCATGGAGCTGCTTTTCTCCAATTTCCTTTCTGGCAATTTGATCTCTCTTTTGTGGATCAGACCTCTTCCATCCTGGCCTGTTTGAATTCAGTCTGCTTTATTTCTCTTGGCCATGTAAGCTACCATTCTTCCCTCCACTCATCCTAATCAGCTGGGCAATGCCCTTGCTGGCAAATCTTGCCAGCCTGTCTACCCAAATTAAGAGGACTGCTCACTTCCCTTGATAGATTCAGGGAAGCTGGACATAATTCTCCAGGCAGAAAATCTAGGGCTTTATTCTTTTCTCTTTTATTCACAGGTAATCTTCTGCCTCTCGTAATTTAAAACTTTGATTTACAATATTTCCTTTCTCAGATAGCAATTTGCTTTACTCTATTATTTGCCCTGCTTTCAGGCTAAATTTATCTTCTTTCTCTCCTGTGCATATATTTATGTATATATTTAAGATTATATTTATGTATATAACTAAGATTTGCCCAAAACCTGTGTGGATTGATTGTCATTCATTTGTAGTGTATCTTGAATCTCCATAAAGCTTGTCTTTTGCTAAAAGCAAAATTCAACTCTACAGAAATTTTGAGCACTGATGGGAACTCTTGCCTTGTCTTTACTCCTGTCCCTATTCTTTCTACCTCTTCCTGGAGTAAAGACAAAGTAAGGCAATCACAGGTTAACCTCAAGCTACTTTGTAGGATATGAAGTATGGAAATGGAGGGAACATGTAACTGTCCTTGAAGGTAACCAGAGCTAGCTCTCCATTGTCTTTAATAGTGTAATTAATAGGGTTTCTCAGCAAACAGCTAATTAGTAGCACCAGGAAAATATCAAGATCAGTTTCTCAGCCTTGACAGCTATAAGCAGGGCTTTTTTTGTCATAGAACGCCCAGAACAGAGTTCCGGCACCTTTTTGGGATGGAACCTTGTAGGGTAGGCAAGGCAGGTTATATGACTTGTGTGAATTCCAGCACTTTTTTTTTTTTTTTTTTTTTACAAAAAAAGCACTGTCTATAACAGTGTTTCTCAACCTTGACAATTTTAAGGCATGTGGACTTCAACTCCCAGAATTCCACAGCCAGCATTGCTGTTGAGAAACACTGGTCTATAAGATATGTGGACTTAACTTCCAGAATTACTCAGTCAGCATGCTAGCTAGGGAATTCTGGCAGTTAAAGTCCACATATCAAGGTTGAGAAACTCAGTAATTGTTATCAAATGTTCAGAATAAATAATACCTGTTAGAAAGTCATGATCTCAGGTTTGGATGGCATGAATATTTATGGTATAATAAGTTCAGGTTACAGTACTGTAAAAATAATTTTATTATATATGTCATACTGACAATATGGAATAGATTATAAATCCAGGTTGTGCCAGAAATCATTATTATGGATCTCAGCTCAAGAAGCATATTATAGAACAGAGATGGCAAAAAAAGATAAATGGTTGAGGTAGTGGGATATATTGAAAAATTTCCAAGAGAATTTAAAATCAAATCAAAAGAACAATTAATAGCAGAAGGATATAGTTGTTGATGGTTTTCCCATTTATATGAAAGTTTTAAAATGAATAAAAAAACTTGTGGTATAGTACAAAATAAATCAGAATTTGAAATACAATTGCGTATTGATGATGAACATATAATTGCTGAAACGTACAAACTTTTGTTGAAATTTGAAACAGGTAGAACAGGTTAAAGTGGGCTAAAAATTTTCATTATAATGTACATATGTATCAGTGGGAAAATATATGGCTAAAGGAGTTGAAATTTACATTGTGTTATGATCTCAAAGAGAATTTTTATAAAATGATGTATTGGTGGTGTACGATATCAGAGAAATTATTTCAAATGTATAAAGGCACTTGAAATGTATGTTGGAAATATGAACAACATAAAGGGACATTATATCTTGCTTAGCGTGTAAAAAAACTTTAAAAATTGGATTTAGATACCTAGTTTGATACAGAGGATTTTAAAGACTGATATTCAATTGAAGTCAGAAACTTTCATTTTAGGATTAATGGATAGTTAGAAAAAGCCAGTGCTTTTTTTGTAAAAAAAAAAAAAAAAAAAGGTGCCAGAACTCACATATGTCATACAACCCGCTTTGCCTACCCTACAAGGTTTACCTTTGTAGCTAAAAAAAAAACCCTTCAATGTTTAGTGTATCTAAAAGACTAGGATTTTGTTCAAGGCAACTCTGGAAAATCTGTCGAAACTCTGTTCCAGTGCGTTCTATGACAAAAAAAGCCCCGGAAAAAGCCATGGAAGATTATTTATAATTACTGTGGTGAAATTACTATATGCACAGAGATGGAAAGATTCAATACTACTCACTATGCAAAAATAGTTGGTGAAGTTTACAGATTAGCTGCGGTACCAGCCCCAGTATTACACTACATCTTTTCTAGAGATTACTCAATGCCTACATCTACAGTATTCAACTTTGTTTCTTATTGCCTTCCATTTCCTAGCTCTATAAATAGCTTCTAAGTCTTTCTTGACCTTTGTAGCGCTTACCTCTAGATCCTCTACCTGCAAAGAATACATTATGGGAGTTCTTTCCAAGGAGTGCAAAGGACTTCAGATTAAAGGAGAAAAAATGTTTCAGAGAGGACAAGGGTGCACATGTAATGCCTGTCTGCAAGTTCTTAAGCCAAATGCAACTTTGCAGAGGAAATCTGAGAATCTGCTGCAGAGGCAGTGAGACATTCTCAGGAAAAGATGCTGCTGTTTTAAGATGTTGCAGATGAATCTTACAGGAGTAACACTGCACTCTCTTCAGAACCTGTTTGCCTTGGAATCCAAAGCACAGCATAGTCCTCTTCTTTCCTTTAGGCATTTCTTAGAGGAAATTCTTAATTCCACTGATTGACACCTTTCGTTTTTTTCCAGTTTCTCTCGCTGCTGAATTCAGAATGAAGGGAAATTAATGCTCTTGCTGCTGTTTCTCCAGGGACTAAGATTTTCACCAATAAATGTTCCAATTACAGGTGGGCTACTTTCAACTTTCTGCCTGAATTGTTATCAAGTAGAAGAATGTTGCACACAATTGGATAAGTAGGTCAGGTCTTGCATAATTGACTGAATATCACTGAACCTAACTGAATATAATTAGGCATTTTTCTTGCCATTCTTTTCAGAACATGTGCTTCTGATATTTTCATACACCCTGTTTTTATTTCTGTTGTGCTTAGGAGTTCAGCTTGAGAATGCCTATCATGCCCATCACCCAGTGGAAGAGATTTGCTGATACTAGCAAAAGCTCCTTCTGTGCCATGTTCCAGAACAGCTGATATCTCCCTGGCCTAGCAGGCAGTTCTCTCACAAAGACACAGTTGCACGCAATTTAGCTAAATAAGGGAAAGACAAGCTTTCATCCAAGTCTTTACTTCTGCGTTTTTTATTAACGCACCATATTAATATTTTATCTGTGGTGGCTGGGTGGGAAAAAGGATTATGTGGTGGACAAAACATGTATCTCAAAATAGAACATTTTTACCTTGCTCAATGAAGAAACTTGGAGTTAAATTAAATATTTAGAAACACAGAAAACAAGGGGAGCTGTAAAAAGCTGCAATTTTTCACGTCACCTCCTGCTGCTGTGCCAAAAAATCCTCCTATACCCATCAATCAGCAAAATCCTTTAATTGACTTTTTCCTAGTCGTTCATTTATATCTGAGAGCTGCAGGAATCCTGGCAAGAGGCTAGTAGCTATTTGGAATGCGGACGTTCACTTGCTGACACTGATGCTCTGGATTCTGTTCTAAAGCTATGAAGATGAACACAGAGACACGCAAAGAAACTGGAGCATCATCGCCAAAATGAAACTGTGAATGAGGAGGTCCTACTTCAACCTCAGATGCAGCATTTCCCTGCTGCCCCATTGCAACCTGCCAAGGTTGAAAGATGTAAGCATATATTCCTCAATGTCTGTCTGATTTTGCATGTCAGAATTTTGAATTACAAGTAGTCTTCCACTTATGACCATAACTGAGTCCAAAATTTCTGTTGTTAAATGAGACATTTGTTAAGTGAGTTTTGCTCCATTTTACAACATTTCTTGCCACAGTTGTTAATTGAATCACTGCAGTTGTTAAATTAGTACCCGGTTGTTAAATGAATCTGGCTTCCTCATTGACTTTGCTTATCAAAAAATTATAAAAGGTGATCACATGACCTCGGGACACAGCAATTGTCATAAGTATGAACTAGTTGCCAAACATCTGAATTTTGATCACATGAACATAGGGATCCTTCAAAGGTTGTAACTTTGTGGAAAATGGTCATAAGTCACTTTTTTTGGTGTTGTTGTAACTTTGAACAGTCACTGAATGAACTGTTGTAAGTCGAGGACTACCTGTACAGCAGACAAAACGTGAGATCTAGAACAATTAGTGCAGTTATTTCTGGACTGCGCTGTGCTTCACCTTATTCTTCAGTCTCCTCCACACTGCAAAGGCAATCTTTACTAAGATTGTGTAGGGAGAGAGATGCCTAGCTACATTGCCAGATGCTAACATCTGCCCTTGCTTTCTTGCATAGCAAAGTAGATTATTTTCATCTTGATTATGAGGTGGGTATTTATGACATCTTCAGTGTTAGTTGTAGTATCACAGATTGGCACATACTGCCCACTTTAGGTTGGTGAAAATGTAGCCCCTTCTCCTCTGTCTGTACACTGAATTCAAGGATCATTTTGTTTAGTCAGCAGAAGAATCAGACTAGGTTGTTTCTGTGTATCCTCCAGGTCTTCAAGCTGATCCCTAAATCAGAAGTCTCTTCCTTGCTTCATAGCATATGGGTTTAGTGATTTTTATGGAATATTCCAAACTAAATATAAATAAATCAACAAATATCTTCTATCTGTTTCCCTATAACTGCATTCAGCTACCTTCATGGTTTATATACCATAATATTACTGAAAACTGAGAGTTACTTAGCAAAAGTATTTCATTTCCCCCTAACTTCTTTTTTTTTAAACTGCAGATATAAGGAGTTAGGACTAAGTTTGGTAAGAGACAGCAGCAAAGATAGTTGCAAGCAATAACATGATAGTGAGACAATAACTATATGGTTTATATTAAAAGGCTCCATGAATAAATCTCCCACATCCTTTGTTCTTTCAAAGATGTGGAAGCAATCCTAGACTAGAATACTTGGAAAACCTTGGACTACCAAGATGAAAATATCTGGTCACAGATTCATGAATTCACCAAATTGCACTTTTTTGTCTCTTCAATATTCATCAGAACTGTATTAGTATTAATACAGTTCTGATGACTATTAAAGAGACATAAAAGTCTCTCTTATGTTTAAAATGAAGCTCGGTAGATCATTAGGCAGATCTATGTTCCTATGCAAGTGGCCAACACTATATTGCCCTCCTCCAGAAACATAGCAGAATATTTTCTTGGCACACATTTGGAGGAGAATAGATATGTAGGGAAGACATAAATGAAGCACTCTGGGAGAAGCCTCTCTCCTTCCATCCTGCCAACAGTAAAACAAAGTCCTCCTATGAAAGAAGCCTTGCACTGCAGTGGGAAGGGGAAAGCTTATGCTGGTTGCTGAGCTGAACTGCTATGCCATTTGCAAAGGGAACAGAGGTCATTCTGGCCCAATTACATGCAAAGACCTATGAACTTTTTTTCCCCTATACAATAACCTTGCCTCTTCGGTATGCTTTTGTACAGAGGTGGCTCCAAAAATATATATTAAGGGAGAAGGAAAACATGCAAAAAGTAATCTTGAGGTAACAATCTTTGTCCCAACTATTAGATTTCTGAAAGACAAATGGCATATTTTCATTTTAATGAATCCCTCTATATTATGCTTTTTCCTCCACAATATGTTCAGCTGGTATTTTAAATCCCCCAAAATATGAACTTTGTCAGTGAGAATGGGCTTTACTGAAAATCCTGGGAGTTCAAATCTATTCATCTGGAGGATCAGTCAGAGAAGAACAGCAGGAAGAAAAACACTTGGTCAGGCTTGCGAGCTCAGAGAGACCCTCCAACTTAGATACTTGCTTTTTCATTTGTGTTTACTCAAAAATATTAACTTTTCCCTCTGTTTTTATCTTTGGTGTCTGATTATCTTTTCATGGGTCACCTTTTCTTATTTTTATTATGGTTAGAAGCCTCAAAAACTGGAATTGGCCAAGATTCATGGATCTCTGAGAATAACAGAACAACAGAGTTGGAAGGAATCTTGGAGGGTCTTGTAGTCCAACCTCCTGCTGAAGCAGGAAAGCCTATTCAATTTCAGACAAATGGTTGTCAAATCTCTTCTTAAAAAGCGTCAGTGTTGGAGCACCCACAACTTCTGAAGGCAAGTCATTGTGCTGATTAATTATTCTAACTGTTAGGAAAATTCTTCTAGGTTGGTTCTCTCCTTGATTAGTTTCCATCTATTGTTTATTGTTGTGCCTTCAGGTACTTTGGAAAATAGTTGACCCACTCTTCTTTGTGGCAGCCCTTAGATATTGAAAGACTCCTATCATGTTACCCTAAGGCATGCCGGAGGCATCCAGGTTAGGGAAAGCTTACTTAAGAGCACTTCCACAGGTCAAGCGGTACTGCTCCTTAAATGGTGCCATGCTCCTCTAATCCCATGGCATTATCATAATTTGCTCTCTAGTTGACCAAGGGCACATCCAGATGGCCATGTTAAAGTGTGGTCTAACAGTCCTTCAGCCAGGTCATCAGTTGCAAAGACAGAAAATCCATTTTGCCACCCAAATTCCAGAGGTGCTTTTCCAAAAGGCAACATGAGTTTCTTGGTTTTTTTCCCCTTGAAAATGTTTTGCTTCTCATCCAAGAAGCTTCTTCAGTTCTGACTGAATTATGGGGAATGGAAGGCAGACAAATCATACATCTGAAGGCAGATATAGTGAAGATCTCCACCTCTTGATTGGGAACAATTCCTACTAGGTGGCCCAATAGGCTTCCAGAAAGAAACTACCTCTGAAAAGAAATTATATCTTTTATGCTTCTAAACCTGGCTTTATGATGTAGGAGTATGGATGCTATGAGTTTCAAGTGGTAAACTAAACAACCTTGCTGAATGTTGGAAACAGAAGCTAGCAAGGAGTCTGATAGAAAATATTGTGAAATGATCCTTCAAAATTCATACCAATGTTTAAAAAGAGGAGGTATCACATGAAAGAAGATGAAACAGCTGGGATTTTTAATGATGGAGCTGAACTGGTAAGGTCAAGATTTCATCTTCAACTGCCGAGAGACATCATGAAAGTGGCTGTACCCACTGGGAGAGATAACAGCCTTATTAACTAAACAGCAATACTGGTTTTTATTTTTTATATAAATGGCTATTAATGCCATATACACTTTTACCAACAAGCTAACAAAAGTAGGATCTGTGGCCTACTTTTTATTTTCTATAGAACTGCATGCTTGGGAAACTGTTGATAATTTGATTTCCAATGTGCTAACTAAGCTGTGCATATATTCACATACATTCATCAAATGTTAAAAAAGAAAATTCAGTTGACAGCCTGCCTTACCTCCAGGAGCTCAAGGAAGCTATATAGCATTTCTTCCTCCATTATTTCCCCATAACCTTAAACTCTGTGAGCTAGATTGACTAAGAGATAGAGAAATATTATTATTATTATTATTATTATTATTATTATTATTATTATTATTGGTTCTTCACACAGTCAGACAAATGTTCAGACTGGATTTGGCATTTCCATCCACCTATTGAGTCCTTTCCAAGGACCTGAGATAAGCAGATCTGGATGTTTGATAGTGTTACAGATATCATCGCAGGATATAAGCTGCTCCAAGTAAAGCTGTCATTATTATTATTATTATTCAATTGATAGCTTATTATTATTATTATTTACACAAAGATGTGAAGTCATAGCTGCCAGTTCTTTAGCTGCTGTTGGCCACCATATGCATCAAGTTCTTCCCGAGGACCAGGGATGTTGTAATGTACTGGTGTGGGTATATGTCTGGATCCAAGCAGTGTGGCCTTTTGCAATTGGCAGATGGAAAACATAACTAAAACACAGATAAAACAAAACAATAGAGAACCACAAGGACAGCAAAAATATCTGAGATATTAAAAAAGAATTGGAATAAAAACAGCAATAGAATTATGCACAGAAAACCATCCTAAAATAACAAGTTCTGGGAAACTAGTGAGAAAGAAAGATGAAAGCTTCAGAGCCTGCCAAAGAGAGAGAGAAAGAGACATTGCCCTTTCTTGCCCTTCTCACTGCTGACACTCTTGAACTGACAAGGGAATCAGGCAGCAACAGGAAGCAGCCCACACTTCCTCAGTCAGAATGCCCTCCACATATGTTGACTTCAGTTCCCAGAATTCACCAGCCAGAATGGCTATTAACAATTCTAGGAACTGAAGCTGATATAACTATAGGGCACAAAATTAGGGAAAAACATGAGTAGCTAAATAACGTAGGGTTGAAATCTCTTCTAGGAGGACTATAACAGCTAGTGCCTGGCAAGAACTGTGGTACCTTTTATTAAATGTCTTGGCAGGAAAACTTCCTAGCACAATGTTCCAAGTTACATTGAAACAGATACTTTATTTGCATTTTTCCACTTGACACTACAATGCTTCTTCTATCATATTAGTGGATGTTTTCTGTTTCTGATGGAGTTAAACATATAAGACCACACTGGACATACGACTCTAGATGCTCCTTTGGGTATCATTTGATTTTTTTCTTAACCTACGCTAGGCAAAGTCACGTTCACCTAGTTCCTTCCTCTTGCTCAAGCTGTAAATAAATTCAACTCTTTGACCGAGGGCACTTTTCCTCAAGGTCTTTTCACTGACCTAAAATCAGCTCCCTTTCACTGTTTTCTCCTGGCATATAGTAGCTGCATGACTTTATTTCTGGCTCAGCTAAGGTTTAACCCAAATTGATTCTCCTCTACCCATCTCTGAAGCTCTGCAGAACTTCCTGAGGATTTGTTTTCCCACTGTAAAGAATGTTTGCTCCACCTGCCACCTGGCTCCTGGGCTTCAGCTAAGTAGGCATTTTGTTTACACATCCTTAAAGATAAAAGATGGCAGGAGAGTTGGACATATCTACTTCCCAGCCCAAATAGCAACTATGCTAATTGCTTGGAAATTAACCTGGAAAATACACGTCATCCTACCGCCTACTTTGCAACACAACTGGAGTTGATTTGGTTTGCTTTGACTGTTTGCAGTTCCTTGCACTGTTCCCAAAGGTAGACACAGAGAAAACAAGAATGACAATGAAACTGATAAGAATCCTCTCTAATATTTGGCAGGGAGGCAGCCTTGTGCACAGGTTTCTTGTTTTGTTTTTGTTTCTCCAGGACATCTCTCTCACACATGATACACGCATACACTCCACGTACACATAACAATCTTCAGCTTCAGCTTCTTCTCCATTCCAATGAGTGGTACACAATGTAACCATGACAGCAGCTATTAGGAAAATTGCCTGGCTGCAAATTTGCTTTCATGCTGTCTTTCCACCTATCCTAAGGCTTTTCAGTATAAAAAAAGGAATGGTGGCTTGGCACAATTGCAGCTATCTCTTTATAGTAACTGTTCAAATATTTTGGCAGATAAGCAGACAAATGCACACAATATGTACAGTATTGGAAACTGGAGGGGAGGATCATAACCTAATTTTTAGAAATTTGAGGGGAGAGGAAGTATTTGGCTTCACTGGACAACCAGAATTTAGTTATCATTGTCTCCCTGTACATGGTTGACTTGTAGGGAGAGGCAAATGGATAGTTAAAATTAATTCCATGTTTGCTTTGTTATTTCTGACAATGATACTTTGCAATTTAATATAAATAAGGAAACTGCTCGTGGGTTGATTAATTGACCAAATAGGTCAAGATCCACATGGCTTATTTTTAACTGTCAGGAATACCCATGTAGTATGTGTGTGTGGGGGGGGGGAATTAAACAAACTGCATTTATTGTTGTAGATTGTGAAATAGTCTTTGATGATGTAAGCATGTGACACCTTAGCAAATCAATGATCTTTCTACCCCAGGACCTTTCCCTTTCCCTACTAGAATTCTCCCAGAGTTATTTTGAGCTGTTCCACCTATGTTCCCTCCAAACAGGGCATGGAAGGAATGATATCTAGGAGCTTCTTCATAGAAAGCAGGTTCTGCCCTACAGCTTCTTTCTACAGTATAGTGGTCCTTAATTATTGCATTTCTGCCAAGGCAAGCTTCTAATCTCCAAGGAATTTGCATAAATCGGGGATGGGCAATAAGTGGTCTCTCTAGATATTACTGAACTATAAAGAATGATTAATTCTTATAATCAAATGAAATGCAAATTCTTACTTATCAAGCATACAGTCAGATTTGCTACAGAGCAAGCAAAGAAGAAGTCAAGACAACCCTGGGCTATTATTATTCCATGGAGGGCTCCGGTATGCTGACCCTGCTTGTCTCTCCTTGCCAACTACAGCAGCTAAAATGACTAACAGGAAAGAAAAGCAGAATTATAGCCGAATAATTTCATAATTCTCCTAACAAGACCAAGTCCAATATCACTCCTGGGATTAGTTCCCAGTTCCTGTATGCAGTTGTTCTGCTGTATGTGAACATTATTTACCAGCAAGGATTTCATAGCTGAGCATCAGTAATCTTTGCTGATCAACTGCAAACCATCTAATGCTCTAGCTGTGGACCTTGAGCTAGCATTTACACCCCTTTATGTACAGTGATTATATGATAATATATAATTGAGGCAATAATGGTCATGCCTTGGTATGCTCTATAATATTCTACCTGGCATAGGGACTCCCTCTCTCTTGTGGTTTCAGCCTGACCTGTTGATCTGATAGGGTTGGCACACTCTGGGTTTCTTCGATCAAGCAGTGCCACCTACTAAGCCCTCATAAGCTTGCTTTTTCTATCATGGTGCCCATGTTCTGGAATAAGATTCCCCCTAAAATCTGGGTGCCTTCCGCCCTGTTGGTGGTCTGCAAGACCTTGAAGTCTTGGCTTTAGGCTGGGAAGGTTGGAGGCCCTTGTGGGTACATGTTGCTGTTGGCTGGATTTGTCATCTTGTTCACTGTTTAATTTTATCTAATGACATATCGCTGTTTATGTTTATGCTGTGAGCTTTCCAGTGTCAGTAGGAGTCAGGCAGTGTCCAAGATGAGTAAATACATACATAAATAAGAGTATATTAACATTGGGTTATATTCATTTAGTGAAAAATCCTCCATTCTTGAAGCAACCACAGTTCCAGCAAAGTCT